ACTCTATTGGTTCTTTAAATACAACGAGAAAGTCTGTTGTACGAGTAGCACTACTAGTTATTTTTGAGTGTTTCTTCCTTATTTAGGGATTACGTAGAGGAATTTCGACAGCTACAAATACAGGACATTAAACAGGCCAATTCTCACTTCTCAATTACGATTAACTTTACATCCATCACACGTTTTTGTGTAATGAGTTAAAATAAAATATTATTTTATATTATTAAGTTTTAGTTACTTTACTTTTAAAGCCACCCTAAATATAGCATATTGATAACTTCTTTTGAGTTGAAATGACGAAATATTTTTGTCCTTACTGATTCAACACTCAGTATCGCGGTTTCATTTTGTCACCATTTAACCAACAATACATCGTTGATATTAATCAAGAAAGTTTCGATGTTTTAAATAAATCACATGAGAAACGTTTATGACACTTAAATGAATAATTCTTGGTTGGACGAATTATGAGGGTTGAATTAATGGTTTTAATAAACCAGTGGCGGAACCCCAATACTTTGCTGTCGATTGCATCAAATTGTAAAAACAGTACCCCATTTAAGCCTGAGCGGAAAGGCATTGGAAGTAATTCACATAAAAAAGTATTTTTTTTGTAAACAAATGTATGAAGATAGATTCTAAATGATAATTATCACACCCTCATTTTGAAATACTGTCTAGATTCGTCAGTCTTCTTCTGGTTATTATTATTATTATTATTATTATTATTATTATTATTATTATTATTATTATTATTTACAAGCTGCTAATCTGGTTATTGCACCAGAATCTCCGCATTCGTTTAATTCGTAGGCTTCATGTGACACTGATGTGCTATTGGGAGTAAATAAACCATCAGCACGCGCAGACACTGAATCACACTCTTAAAACACACGCACGCCATTACTTTCGCACTCTATAAGTGCACATATTAGGCCCACTTTATAACTTTTTATTGGCAATACTTGTTCGTAAACCACCACACACATAAAAAACTAATAGCTCCTTTAATTTACCTCCCGAGCTGTCGAGCGTCGACACGAATGGGTCCATTGGCGAGAAACATACTCTTTGGTCAGAATATACGGCTAAATGGGCAGCCAGATAGGGCTGTGCTGCGCGGCTCAATGTTTGCAGCAGTTTCGCTTCCCCCCCCCCGACTGCGGCACGAGCGGCCGTCCGCTTGCGGGGGGCGTACATTTCATCATGGGCCGTGGCCAGATAGGCGGATTAGTGCCGCCAGATGGCGCGGCGGGCGGCGCGGCGGTGAACCGGCTTCGGCTCCAAAAAACCTCCTGGCAATGCCCGTTCATGGGAGTAAGCGTGAATGAAAGGTTATTGCGTACCACTTTTCAGGATAATAGACATTTTCAGGTACCGCTGTGCAAATTTTTGTTGCTAGTATTCGGACACGTAGCCACCTACCTTAGTTGGAACTCCCATTAGCTCTCATCCGTCTTCGAAGTGCCCTGTTCAGGGTTTTCGCATTAGTTAAGACTCTCACAAAGAAACACTTCTGAACCTATATGCTTCCTAGTTTAGGCGACGTCTTCCGATTGCATCCCGCGTTGAACTTCCGTAGGCTTTTTACCTACCTCCACAGAAAGGCTTAGCCCGATTGAAATGTGTTCGGATTGGTTGATTGCTAGTGATTCCGGGCGCGACAACGGCAAAGGTAATTAATACCATAAGTATAGTGCATGTTTTACTCGGTAGATGGTGACATCTGGCGCCGACCTACCGTCGGCCAGCGGTGTTTTCTTCAACTAGATATCTCCTACCAGATCCCGCTGGTGTCCCCACCGCCCTACACGCTCCCGAACGGTCTCGTGTATGTGAGGTGTAGTGCATGTGAATGTAAGCGTGTGGTAGTAAGGGGTGAGGGTAGGATAAGGAAGGGGAAGGAAAGATCGCGCGTGGTCCGTGGCCCGTTTGTTAGAGTACTGCTCCGCCATTCGTCTGGAATTGATGGAAAAGTACCGATCGGAGCAGCGACATCAGTTGATTCCCTGAGCCATCACTCTAACAGCCCTTTCGGTTTTCTCATGAGTACAAGGAAGAGTTCACGGAGCTATCAGTGCTTCCAAGATAGCTCTTTCGCTTTTTGTCTTTCACGCATGAAAGACAAAAATAACCTAATGCTCCTTTTAACGAAGTTAACTTAACTAAGTTGAATTTTGAAATAATGGTACTTGAATACAAGTTACAGTATAGTTTTACTTACAGTCAAAATAGAAATAGCCATGTCGCTACCAAAAACACAATATAAAATAATTTAGGGAACAATATAAACAACACAAAGAAAAATATCCATTTGACAGTCGCAAGTGCAATAACAGAAGTGAACGAGTGTGACGAGCACGTGAAGGTAAAGCACGGGGAGGACGAGTTGTTCTCCCCTCACTCCTTATCTGGTCTTCCTCAGAGGAAGGGCTCTGACGGACTGTCCTCTGCTCCGCAGGATAGGGGTAGCTGCCCCGCGTGATTAGCGGGTGCCACAGATACAACAAATTTCGTCTAGGATATTCTACTAGGCGCAGTTGAACACCTAGATGAGCATGAATGACTGCTTTTAAATATTGAAATCAATATTTATTAAACATTATTATTATTATTATTATTATTATTATTATTATTATTATTACTATATTTAATATTATTATTTCCTTGATCTGAATAGGCCGACATGGACCACGCGTGCAAGCATCCTGCATTTACTGGCGTTCAGAAACATTATGGGGATCAGCATTCTAGCTGGATTTGAGTTTTACCTCCTAGGGTTGTTAGACCTGGGAGTATGCAAGATGAAATGATGATTATGACAGTGATGGGTGAGAGGACAAAGCACACAAACACAAATACACTCGTGCCCAAGGCTGGACTCGAAACCGCGATATTCTAGTCCGAGACCGAAACGGCACTACTGCCTTAGCGATCTCGGCGTTATTATTATTATTATTATTATTATTATTATTATTATTATTATTATTATTATTATTACTATTATTATTACAATTATTAATATTATTATTATGTTTACAAGGAGTACTACAAGTTTTAAAGGGGGTTAGGAATCCTTTTAGTCGGGAGCGCATGTAAAAGGGAATAAGTGACGTTTTTGCTCGAAATGTGTATGCCAGTGTTAGGAAAGGGCTGAACTTCTCACAGTTTTCAGAACATTGATGAGAAAGATAAACATAATTGAGTAGAAACAGTATTTACAACGAGAAATTGTCTACAGCCTACCCCGGCACAAATGTGTTAACAGTCAGGATATTGCTTTACAATGTTACTATCATTGTGTATAGGGGAATAAGTGACATTTCAATTTTGCCATTACAGTTTAGTGACAAAATTGCAAAGTCACTTATCCCCTTATCTACAATGATATCGTCAAAGAAATGTCCTGGCATTCTAATTTCGGACAAAAACTTGACTTATTCCCTTTTTCACGCGCACCCGCCTTTTGATTTAGCTTGCTCCGGAGGGTTACTACCCATTCAGTGATCCTCTGAACAGTCTACGTAATGGTATTTCGAGATAGTCTTATTATGTCATTTTTTAATTATTTTTGTTAACAAAACACATTATCACATTTAATTGGGAATTTAATGAGCTACATTTGCTTATAAATGTGTTTCACGTATTGGTTGAATTGTTAGCAGGTATTCGATTGCAAAATGTCTTTTTGTGACTGTTATGAATACAAACATATTATCCAAGCTTGCTAGTACCGACAACATCGAATGGATCTTCGACATTCATCATTATAATTACGATTGGAGAAAGCAATTAGTAATATTTATGTATCTAGGCATCGCCATCGCAGGACTTCTTCGTTTGGCGAAGTGGAGGGAGAGGCCGGCCTCAATTCTTGGGACGCTCTCCAAACAGCGAGCGCCGGTTCCGAGTTCGACTTCGGCCCGCGCAGCGCCTCCCTCCCCCCTCCCCGACTAATACCATTACGCTTCGCTCTAAATGATCCGGATTCCTCCGCTGTCTCCGCTGTTATCAAATTAAGACTCGCCTGGCACGGATCTGCAATTACATGAAAGGTCTCTAACGAGATCCTCCTCGGAAAACATTCTGTCGCGCTGATTCTTTGTTGGCGCTGCTTGATAATTTTGCAGTGAAACCCAGTGAAAGAAGTATATTGTTGTTGGATTACGATTGATTGTTTTTATAGTTTTTCCGGGTGCGTCAACTGCTACGGGCATTAGTTCCGTAAGTTTGGTGCATGTTTTTATCACTGGTGGGCCGTATTGCTTCCCCCGCTGGATGGGGAAGACCAGCCGACGATCTACACGTCGTCGGCTTGCGGGGTTATCCCCATTCAGATATCTCCCACCAGCGGGCTCTGCCCTAACCGTGACAAGCTCTAAGCCCCCGATTGTTCTCCCGTCATGTGTGGTAGTGCAGTGCATGTAATAGCAAGTCTATGTGATAAGGAGTGAGGATCGGACAAGGATGATAATAAAAGATCTCGTACAGTCCGTGTCTCGTTTGTGACTGTACTGATCCGAAGTTCGCTTTATATTAATTGGAGAAACCACGGAAAATTACTGAACAATTCGCTAGAATTAAAATAAATAAATTAATAATATTCCTTCCAGTGGCGCAGTGTCTCCCTCCAGGAAGGGAAACCAAGGAAGATCTTTTTTCACACTGTAGACTATCTTTGTTATATTGTACTGTCGAACAGTGTAACTCGCGTGAAAGTTTTCTTAACAAATATTGTTCGGCATGCATTTTTAAGAATAAAATTATATATAGATTTTCCTGAGCCAAAACATGGATTAAATAAAGGAGTGAATTGAATTGTAAGAGCCCCCACAGGGGTTAATCGGACTCTGGCTTAGCATAGGTCCCACATGCATCTCTTAATACTTCTAAAGGAGTTAAAAAGTTTAGTCAGACAACACCTAATGCATGACTTCAATCCTAAACCTAAAGCAACAGAACTGAACTCTCACTAATGTTACTTCCATCTTTGGTCACAGGTACATTCTTCGGTAGGCGGTGAAGCTTCTACCTTCTGCATCGTTTGCTGAGGACTCAATTGGTTTCAACCTACGGCAGATCTACGAATTCCGCAACGGATGCAGGCTCTTCTGCTGTTCGAGCTGACAACCTGTTTTTAGCGGCTTTGGTGGTGTGACGGTTAGCGCATCGGACTGTTCGCAGATTCAAACCCGTTCAAAACTGGATTTTTAAGGAGGTGAATAAAAATACTTGGGAGGGGAAGAAAACCCGGCTGTTCCATGTTGTAGATGTATTACATGTAAAAAATTCTCAAGCCTAAAAGAAGGCTTGAGCGAAATTCAAATTACCCTTTCCTCCCCCAAGTGATATATCCTTTATCTGCTAGCCGGTGAAACCAGCGAAGTGGAATTTGCATGTTCAGGCGGTAGTGCAGTCCTGATGGCCTGAGCGGAAAATGAAGCTTACTTGAACTGAATTGAATTGAATTCTTGCACTGCGTGCTCAAAGGTCGCATCTGTCGCGAGGAGCGAGCACAACTGGTCGCTGATTTCCATTTATAGCTGCTGCCAGAATCCTTAGGAACAATAACATTACACTTGATGTGAAAACCAGTTTAGGCACGCTAACAATTTAGTTCACTTCCGCTAGAACATTGTGTAATATAACGCGCTCCTGCGAGTGAAATGCGCTTGTTTATAATGTTCAACTTTTAAGTCGAATTGTCGCTTTCCTACGCAGGCCCAATGAAAGCCACCAGGCTGCTGCTGTCTACGCGATGATCAATAAACATCCTTGTGTCTGTCCAACACGTAGTTGCCTGCGCAGTTTATTTCCTAGTATTTTTTGCGAAACACTTCCAAGACACACTTGAGGCTTCACTATGCCTGTCGAAGTTTCTTAATGAGGTTTCGGTCTATGCGATTTACACAAAACGTCCTTGCGGCTAAGCATCGAATGATTTCCGGCCCTTTTTGCCCCAAAATATATTTTTAAGTAATTCAAACGCACCATTCTCATATGAACTACCGAACACAATGTCCTCCAAACATCCTTTAGTCGGTCCAATGCATAGTTTGCTTGCGCAGTTTATTCCGAAGTTGTTGTTTTTGGTTGCGAAAGACGTCTTAAAAGGGAACTTTTAACAGGTTCATCTCGAAACCTGACCTCATATTTTTTTCTATAGATATATTCGCTATTTTTGTATGATGTGAGAAAAATAGCTGCCGTGTCACTCTGGAAGTTACTGAAAAATAAAATGAAAATTTCCACACTTTTTACGACGAAAACATCGTTCGCACAGGGTTTGTGCATCCCTACGTACAGTGAGAGAATGCCTGCCGAGGGAACAAGCGCTCCTATGGGCTCGAGCTTCAATACAGATTTCTAATTCTTGTAGGGATAAGTAATGTTATTCCTCTCTTGAATGCCCGTAGGCTCATCACAGCCAATCCCATTTTTTGTATGCCACGATATACCCCTTATGGCCATCTCAGCTTTTATAAATCGTGAGTGGTCTCTGATTAATTGTTGATTAATGTTTGCTGAACATGATGGTCATGTAGGTGTGGGAAGGCTACATGTCACAGGCACACGAAGAATTTACGCAGGATTTGCAATCATTGTGTCTAATAACCGGTATGTGGAGGACCTGTCCCATGTCCTCGCGCCTCGCGGCGAAATTTACAAAAGTAAAGGTAAGTAAAATTTTAAAACTAGAAAAGGCAATAAGAAAAAATAATGGAAATGGAATATTATGGTTATTTTGAGTTCACGAAATTCGGAAGATGAACACTTTCTTGAAGTTGTAGACAAATCAAATACATAATTCACAGGTATACAATAAAACATTATGCATTTGATTAAAATTTTGGGAAAAAAAGCTTTGTAGTAACTAAGAAATGACAATAAAGCCAAAAAAATGTTTCAAATCTCGTTAAAATAAGTGCCTTCTTTAGGCAAAAAATAGGAATCTCTTGTGCGCAAATCAATGCTATTTTAGTTAATAGTTTGAGTTTGGGTCCTAATATTTGCATAAAAAAGAGACTTTTTTGAAAACATGAACATGAATGTGGAACCGAGACTGGCGTACGTGTATTTGATTAACTTTTCGAAATCAACAGTTTTGCAGTAGTGGAAGAGGGCAAGGAAACTGTCAAAAAATTTTCCAAATGAATTTAAAATATGGCTGCTGCTGGCGCTCACCGGACTCGACAACGTGCACCGACCGTGACGATCAATTTTTACTGCCGGAAAGCCCCATTTTATTTCTGAAAAGCACGCAGAAATCAAATCTTCAACTTGTTACCCGTTCTCCATACGACGTGAAGAGGTATTGCGAGACCTGGCGATCCCCGCCAGAGTTGCAGACGAGTGGTTCACTCTACCGACGCTCTGCTCAGTTCTCGTGCCCGCACGGTTGACAAGAGAGGGCGCCACGTAAAGCCAGCCACATGGCCTTGGCCAGCCCAGTGTGTCGTCACCTATACGTTTGGCCTGAGGAGGTAGAAGCTAAGACATACCTCTTCGCGGCGCATGAAGATCGGAATATATGTTAGGAATGAAGGAAACGGAAGAGGTCGCTTGTCTACGATGACTCTTGCGAAAATGAAAGAAGTAAGAGCTCGCGCGCACTTCAAAAGGTTTTACGCGAAAAATCACTGTGTAAACTTTCAGTTAAGTTTCTTTAAGAACCCTGGTATATTTTGTATATTACAATACAAGTCTTTTTTAACTTGATAGTAAACCAAACTCATAAAGTAGTAACATTTTCAGATTTATTTTCTTTATTTTTTTTAAATTTATTTATTTGACGTCACAAAACAGTTAAAAACTGTGTGTGGTGTACTATGGAGAGATGTGTGCTCTTTGCATGTTTTTTTAAAATTCTTGGCTCTCCACCGTAACCCATATACAAGTTGAATTATGAATACGGGTAGAATCGAGTGTTTTTGCAAAAATGCACAGATAGCGAAGTTACATTTATGTCCAGAGGCCATCTCAGCATTCAGCAAAGGATCAGGGAACATAGATGAAAAACGAGATGGGTGTCATTGAACCAGAGCTGAGATACAATACTTGTTACAGGCATATTTAGTCTTTTAAATTTATGCAGTCCAAATGGTAACTAATTGTCATTACGAATCGTCGTCGTTAAAATCAATATTAATTTCCTTTTTGATGCTGAGTATAGGCTCTGATTGTATAGAAACAGTTACGTGGCAGAAAATATTTTACATGACACTTAAACTTGTGTATAGATTTCAGTTGTGTAATGTCATCTGGCAATATGTTGTACAATAATGTACACGTATTGTGTGGAAAAGGAAAGCAAAATTCTGTGGACATATTTTCAGACATAAAAAGTTCTTAAGTACAAATTGTTGAAAAAAGGGGGAGAGCGAGATCTATAGAACGACAACAGTAGAAAAACTTCAAAACGCACCACACTTCAGAAACATGAGAGATGAAGAAAAGAGCGGTAGAATGTCATGGCGGCAGCGTCAAGGCCCTTTTTGTCTTTAGGATGATGATGATTGTATGTGAAATTTGGTTTTTGAATAAGATAAATATATCTTTAACATTTCATATTTACATTGGACGACGTCATTTTTATTCTGAACAAGACCAGTTTCAATAAGCCTTGCATTTTGTATTTACGATCACCATAGTGACCTAGTGAATACAGAAAGAATGGAGGATTTTAATAATATTCCGGATGAATTATTACAAGAAGCGGAATAGACAATGATGTATTGCTCCCTTCAAAAAGTAAAAAATTGTTTGGAAAAGAATACAATTTATACAAATTGGAAAGCGTATATCTGTGGGATCAGATTTATCAGTCGCAGCGGTGCTCACTGCCTCACTGAAGAAAAAATCTGTATCTTCATTTTAGTAGAAAACAAAATTGATTGTTAATAATTAAAATAAATAAAAAATGACTTATTAATTTCTATGAATTGCTGTATTGCACTGAACCACTGAACCTGTATATATTTTGCAAAAATGTAATGCAATTTGCAAATGTAAAAATACATTAAATGAACAGATATGATGAACAGATAAGCTGTGTTTATTATAATTGCCTTGTTCACTCTTATTTTATGAAAAGTAATTTAACATTTTATTAATTATTTTTACTTATTTTTAATAAAAACAATTGAAGCAAAAAAGTGTGTGTGTTTTATTAATCTTGACTGCCCTCATTATGCAACACTAATTATCCGAAATCATATTCTGAACTTTTGGAGGTGTCGTGCTTCTTGTATGTAGGTGAGTATTAAAATCAAAAGGCTACAATAAGGTTTAGTTTAGCAGGTTCTTCACGGATTCAACGCGAATAGATTGTTCCGAAAGGCGCTTGACAGCAAAATAGACGAACCACATTTTGGTTCGTTCTTTGCCATCATCCTTCGTTGTTCATCGTTGTTTATTATTTGTTTTTTGTTGGTCGTTTACGTTAATCGATCTTTGTGGTTCTTTATTCATTCTTTGTTCTATGTTGTTCGTTCTTCATTCCTTGTTTTTGTGCGTATTTCGTTGTGTCGCTTTTTCTTTGTTTCTCGTTGTTTATTCCTGGTTCATCGTTCCTCATTCTTCGTTTCTCGTTCATCGCTCTTCATTGTTTAATGTACGTTTTTCGTTCTCGTTCCACGATCTTCAGAGTTCGTTGTTCCCCGTTCTACGTTCTTCTCTGCTCGTGTTTGTGTTCAATCATCGTTGTTCATCAATCTTCATTGTTCGCTTTTTGCTTTTCGTTCTTCGTGATTCGTGGTTCTCGATCTTTGTCCGTCGTTCTTTGTTCGTCGTTCATCTTAAGTTCGTTTTAAGTTTTTTGTTTTTTAATTTATCCTTTTTCGTCCCTCGTTAGTCGTTTATCGTTTGTTTTTCGTTCTGAGATTTGTATTCTTGGTTTTTCGTTGTTTTTTTCGTTGATCGTTTATAGATCGTCGTTTGTGATTCGTCGTTCGTCTTTTTCTGTCTTTCGTTTTTCAATTTTGTTTCTTTCGTTATTCTTTTTTTGTTTTTCGTTCTTTGTGTTTCGGTATTCGTGTTTTGTCGTTTGTCGGGCGTCGTTTGCGGTTCATCGTTGCATCCATCGTTCTTTGTTCGTCGTTTGGTTTTTGACGATCGTCTTTCCCCTTTCCTTCTTCGTTCATTTATTTGTTTCTTTTGTTTTTCGTTTTTCACTTTTGGATTTTGTGTTTTTTGGTTTTGTTTTTCGTTCTGAATTCTTCATTTTTTGTTTTTGGTTGCTTTTCGCTTTTCGTTATTAGTGCGTGGTTCGTGGTATGTCGTTTGT